TGCCTGGAGAATTTAAGAGTTTGATTCTTGAGGGATGAACAAGACGAAACTGCAAATGTTATTGCATAAGAGTTTGTCTGAGAGTGACATAAAGAGAGAACAAGACAGGTTGTTGCTGCCTTGACATCAAACCAAAACAAAGATCTTCCTCAACTCCAATAAGGAGGCTATGGTCAAGGGTAATGGGATTCATAGGGATCCATTGATTGGCCCAGAGCTTGAGGAATAATAGATGATTTTAGGGTTGTGGTACACGCCAAACAATCTTATGTGTTGAAATCTACTTGGAACCACATTTTCTGTGATCATCAACTAGACGTAAATGATGGGGTCAAACTTTGGTCATTCCGAATTCATCATAAAAACAATGAGATTAACGGCAGGTTGGTGATGACAATGGTCAAGTTTACTTTGCTTTTGTTTTGGTCAAGAGATGCAGTTCTTATTAAAAAGGAAGGTAGCAAAGAGGGTGTTACTAGTTATGCTAATGGACAAAGTAGTAGTGTTTGATTTGATATGCAATCTAAATAAGAAATTTGGTAGAGCAAATTATGCTTAGGAAAATGCTTGTTTTTTTACTTCTTAGAAGTATGAACTTTTACTTTCTTTCTAATCTCAGCTAATGTGTGCATAAATTTTTATTTTTAAGTTTTTGATGAACTACTTTTTTATATGTGTCAAACTGTAATTTATTAAAAGGTTGCACCTAACAAATATAGCAGGAATATATCATAATAGTATGCTACATTTGCCCTCATTGCAAAATCGAAAACACCACAAGTGAGGAATATTTCACATAGGAGTTTTGATTGGCCACAAGAGATAAACAAGAACAAAATAGTTTTGTTGGTTGAGATAATAAGTAACTTTATGGCTCCTTGCAAGAGTGCGTTCTACAAGAATCTTGCTAAACGACCTGTGAATTCTTCCAGGTTTGCACCTTAGGGTGCAAATACTTTTACGTTATCACATCACCATTTATTGCACATCCATTTATGACAAGGGATCCTGACTTTTTTTCTTCCTAATTTACAAACCAATGCCACGTTGAATAAGTATTTTGTTTACTTAATGAATTGGAATCATTTAAACAAGCGACCAATGAACAATGTAATGTCATTGTTTACTGAAGGGTTCTTTAGACACCATGCGAGAAGTTCCTCACCGCACACATCCTCTTTGCATAAGGAAACGATAATGACATCCTCTCTAATGCTATATATTCTACCATCTTTTCGATTAGGCCACAAAGAAAAACAAATTTGCTTCCTTTGATGTATGCCTTTTGTTTTAGTTTCTCATTAGCCTATAAGAATGGCTCGTACCTATGCCCGATACTATGAGGGGCTTAGCCTAGTGTGTTGTGCAAACGGTAGGACCTTAGTTGTGGTTATATTCCCATAGGCAGCCCAAACTTGACCCTATTGCATTTAATATCCTTATAGTTGACAATGTTATGACTAGGAATAATTAAGGATATGAGGGTTATAGAGGAAGGTCTCCTGAATCAAACTCTTTAGATACTTTCTTTTCATCTCATATTCTTTAGACTATTTTTTATGCACATAAAAATTAATGAGACAATTGATATTAAACAATAAACTTGGCCTTTAACTAAATACACTACTAAAAAACTGCGCTAAAAGCACAAATTCCATTTGTGCTCTTTATGTCAAACAACATGGATAATCGTGCTTTGTGAAGATGGCCACGGTGTAGCCACTTTAAAGTGGTCAATGTACTTCATAGTAGTTTCCATTGATTATAAAGAATAAATGTGTTGCTTTGTGACTGGTATTTAAAGCACAAATGAAGCATTTGTACTTTTATTTTGATAAGTGACTGAAGTGTTAGATAGATTGATTTGACAGGTGTGAGCTGAGCAAAGCTTCAAAATTGTGCTCTAAAAGGACCCACCCCGAATTCCCCCCTAGAATCTGTGACGAACCCTCTCCCTATCCGACACCAGGCATGTGTCGGCCCAAATTAGAAAAATACCCTTCTTGCCCTAATTCCAAAACAACTTTAGGGTTTGACTTTTATTTGAAAATCGGCAGAGCCTCTTTTGAAAATGGCTTTAAACCTTAAAATCTACCTGCATAGCACATACAGTTAATTTCCCAAGCACAACGTATAAACCACACACCAATTAGCAACAGTTTCAGTGGGCTTTAGGCCCCCTTTACCAACATAAATAAGTCAACAAAATCCTCTTGACATAACTGAACATAACAAACAAATCCTAAACTTGCGGCTGCACCTAGGTTAGCCTAGGTTGCCTACGTACCTTTATTGAGTGATCAAGCCACATGCAGTTCTTTCTACCATAAATCACAATTAAGATAATATAGAAATGTTCAAGGTGAAACCAACAATAAAATTCTAGAATCATTCTTTACTTAATTTCAACAAGCTATAAACTGAATGTCATGTCCTGAAATTATGTACCTAACTGTTCAATCAATTTATCATTGTACATCCAAACACATGTGTAACCAAACCTTTTTCCTAAAAGTCATACCTGCAACCGTAAATATAGTGCATATATTCTGATATCACCCACCAAGGGGTATATGAGAAATATCATTAAATCCGAAGGCAACTGGGGAAATGGGAAATTAGTCAACCACCTGTGTAGACAAGTCGGGCAAGTGGCGGGGATCCTAGCTAACCTTGTAAAGATAACATGAGCAGGGTGGTGAAGAATAGCATGTTAACTGTACAAAACATATCAGTACTGCATTGTTTTCGACATAGGTATACCCCAAACATAATCCGTCAATTCCATAGATAAAGTGTCAATTCCAAGTATTACACATGTGGAACGGTCCACTCCATATGTGTGGCACATCCTAGTAGAACTCAGGGACAAATGGTCAACTTAAGAATGCAATCCTAGCAGAACTTAGGGAGATATACTCAACTTGAGAACGCAAATATTAGCACCACATGGTTCGTGCTTCCCCAATACTCGTGGGGCAATGTCATACATGCATAGACAAATCCGAATGCAACTATATGTCCGAAGACATTCATTAGGCAACTGTATGTCCGAATACACTTCTGTTTCCAAAGCAACAAATATTTTCGTTTCCATTACCTTTCATTACTCTCACTTTTCAACATATATGAAAATAAACATATAACCAAACATTTATAATCAACTCAACCCAAATACACACAATAAAACATAAATATACCATGCTTGGAAAGTAAAAGCGATAGAATAATAATTCATAAACAATTAATAAAACTCTCATTGTGTAATACCATTTTAAAACAAACAACCAAATCACAAATACCTCCTAACAAATTGGTCCTGATTGGGCAGGTGAGGCCCACCATCTTGGTCAATTAGGCCTGCGAGGCCCACGATCTCTAATCTCCAGTCCAAAAGTTCCTAAAGGTCCACAATAGTCCACCAGTTACATCCCAACAGATTGGTTACTATCCGACGGTCATATCGTCAACGACCACACGATCGGGTGAAGATCAACGGTTAAAACCTTGTATTTAAAGATTTGGAATATCCAAACGTCTGATTCTCAATCCACGAAAAGTGGCCAGAATTGGGGGTTACAAATTGATCTCTCAAACAACAAAATCAACTTTAACCACCTACACAATCAACAAGAGTATGAGGAGAGGATCGAAAGCCATACTTAGATCGATATTAACGGCCACCGGAGTCGCCAAAAATGGCAACTAAAAACATGGAAATGATCGGCCTTTTCTGAGCTCGCAGCGACGGTATGACTATCTGGGGTGGCGGGATCTTGGCCCAGACGTGGTCACCAGTCGGTGCTGGTCATTTTTCTACTTGTCTAGTCGTCGAAGGTGGCTGGATAACGACATTGTGTCGCAAAAAGTCAAAAAAGCGTAGTGTGCCATCCCCTGAGAGAGAGAGAGAGAGAGAGAGACGCATTCCTTAAAAAAATCCGATTTTGCAATATTTACGATTGTGCCATTGCTCTTTCTTTGAACAAAAGGTCTTTGTTTCAACTTCAATTTGGGCCCATAGCGTGTCTACAAACTCATGAGCTCAAGCACTACGCAAAGGAACCAAGAAAATTTCCAAAACTAGCCCCGACAAAAAAGTCAAATCTAAACCGCCAGGAAACCCTAAGGTTAAAGTCGTCATTTCACTTTAGAATTTGAAAATTAAATTCAATTTAGGGATAGGTTGTTACATGCTCAATAGGGTATATATTTCTTATAAAAAATATTAACACAATTTGAAAACTGTGCTCATGTCAATTGTTTAAATATAAAAAAATTGCACATTCAGCTTTTGCACGTACTTACATTGGGTGGGATGGGGATGTTATGTACGAAATTAAAACCCTAGAAATTTTGTTCCCCGCGCCAATTTTTAATTGCCACATACAAATTATATTGTATTGTACCATTCACAACATCAGTTACCTACCAATTTATGGAATGTCAATAAAAACCAATAAATTAAATAATAAAAATTATATATAAATTAATCTGGAGCAAACAATATAGATTTGGAACCTATGTTTGTACATGGATTTCTTAGCACATAAAAGGTAATAAACAATCAACTAGTATCCCTTTATCAATGCGCAAAATTGCAGCAGAATGAAAGTTATAAACCTCCCAACACATATTAACATTATAGTTGGCAATTGCATAAGCCTAACGTAAAATTTTTATAGTTTGTAGCATTACAGCTGGATTCATGAGTTAACAAATACATCTTTGAAATAATGTGAATCCACAAAGTAAGCCTACACATACTACCAAAAACATCTACTTCAATGTACATCTTCATCTTCTAAGCCTTGTCAGCAATCCAAATACAATTCACAAGAACATCTACCTAATATTATGTTCTTCATTTGTTATTGGTTCAGGCATATGATAGGCAAAGATAGAGTCCTCAGCAAGCCAAAAAAACATATTCTTTGCTGAACTTATGAATATTTAGAATATCGATGGTAATGTGTAAGTTGTATCTAAAGAGAAGCCCCAATTATAAAAACCAACCAGTTATTTAAATTGTGACGATCTGTGAGAAGCATCCTAACAAACCATGACATTGCAGAATTGTCTCAATAAAAAAACTTATTTGCATCACTAATAATCCTTAAATCACATATGCAACAATCATATTGAATACCACAACGTTTGTTTTAGCACCAAACAAGTAGAAAAACATAATTAGCACACAATCGACCATTAATAATTTGGCTGAAACATTTACGATGAAGCATGAGCTGATCTAATAGCTGCAATTACCCCTGGATGCATTGGAGTTCTTTTGAGCCACTCTTTAATATCCTTAGAACTTTTTCCTTGCAAATGCAACTCCTTCATCATTCTATCCAACAAGGTTTAACAAGGCTAAGTCATTCGGCATCTTAACTGGTTTTCATTACATAATTATAAGTTCTGTGTGTTGCCAATTAACATAAACAAACAACAAGTCCATGGCCAAAGTAAAAAAACCAACTAATGCAAGGATCTCTCAGCAATAATACAAAGTTTAAAAACTCAAAAGTCACTATACTCAATAATTTGCATAGAAATTCTTAATCTTTTCACTTGTTTTTATTATGTGACAAAATAGAACAATTATACTAAGTGTTGAAAATATAGTTTTTGTTCACAAATTTCACCAATTTATTAACCAACCAACCAGATGATAAAATTATTAAATAAAAATTTGAACTTTTTTCTATAGATCTACTTCCTGAAAATATTTACAAAGAGAGAAAGAGAGATTGCAAACCATGAGTTTGTTCCATGGCAAAGTACAGCAAAGCTCATTAAAGAGCTGGATGAGGCCCATCTCCACAACCTAGCTATCAAACCTTGCATACAATAGACACCAAGGACTCATTTTGATTCTTGACTTCCTTGGATAAAACAAACTCTCAGACCTTGCTGGAGATTCCATGAGATTCTTAGGGAGTGGGTCTCCAACTGTCAATCCATTCAAAATGGATGCTATCTACACAAGAAATAAGTTGTGAGGGAAATCAAGGATCGATCAATGACTTATTACTTATTCATATGCTCATATGTGAATAGTAAAGTATGGCAAGTGGAGCTATGTTGATTGAAAAGGGTAAGACTATCATCATGTAAGTTAAATGATTTTATAATATCCATCACCATAAAAACTCACTCAATCCAACTAGATCTTTATCTTAAAAAGCTTGAGCCTTGCCAAGCACGAGGACTGTTAAAATTGAGTCATACCGAAAAAGCTTTATATAAAAAAAAGCAATATATATATATATATATATATCTATATAATGAAAATTTTATTGATTCAACTAAAATATGAAACCTGGGTAAGAAAATTTTCTCCTTTATTCATCTTGCTTCTCAATATGAATTGAGCCCTTCTCAAATCTAAAACCAAGTAAAAGAAGGAAAAAAAAACTTTATCAAGAAAATACCCATCTCGTCCCTCTCTTCTTAGAGAACTCATGCTCTATTAGCATCCAATCTCACAAAAATATATCACCTGCTTTAGCCTAATTGATAAGAAAACAGAAGGTGCAACCAAAAATAGTAGTCGACATCTAACCAAGAACAATGATGTCCAGCTTCAGCTACTCTACCTTCAAGATATGTAAATTCCAAGTCCCATTATGACCAAATCATAACCAAAAACACAGTATAACCAAAACAAAACACAATAAATTCACAATATAACCAAATGAAAACCAAAAACACAGAAACAGAAAATAAAAAAAATAGTACAAATATCAAATGCCCACAAATTTGAAAAAAAAAAAAAAAACCTTTAAATTTTAAATCAGAAACACCCAAACAGTCCAAGTTGAGATTTTCATACCTTTGATGAAAGCCTAGATGCAATGAGATTTGAGAGAGAGGCGGATATGAGTGAGATAGAAAGATTGAGAGAGAAGGGAGGAGGTGGATCGAGAGTTGAGAGAAAGAGAGAGAGAGAGAGAGAGAGAAAAAAAAGAAAAGAAAATTGAAACAGGGAGAGTTTTGGGCACAGTTTTAAGTTTTCCGTGGACTATTATCTAACTTTTTATATAATTATTATTTTTAAATATAATATTGAGCATAAATCGTTATGAGAGTGTCATAAAGTTATTTCACATTTGATTAAAAAAAAACGTTATTTGGCATTTCTACGAAAACTAGTTCTTAAAAAATATCTCCTAACGGCATGAAAATTTGGAATTTGTGTCCTTTACTAAGCACAAATGGAAATTGAAATTTGGTGTACGTTTGAGCATTTTATATAGATTATAAAAGGTTTTCGACCAAAAAAAAAAAAAAAAACTATAAAAGGCACATATTTAGAAATGTGCCCTATATATTCAGCTTCTCTATTTATGAGACATGATATATGAAGCACAATTTATAGAAATGTGACTTAAGAGATACAATTGCAATATTTGTACTCTATAGACCACCATATTTTGGAATGTGTGCAGTACAAAGGCACACAATTTTAGTATCCGTGCTTTATATAAGTCACGAGACTTTTAAAAAAAGAAGAAGAAATATATATATATGGGTTAATTACAGTTTAGTACCTTATACTTACAACATTAAGGCATGCTAGTACCTGGCTTTTCAATTTTTACAATTGCATACCTTAAGCTTGTAAATTTGTTACAATCTGATTCCACCGTTAGGGTTTCCATCAGATCTGTCTGTTAGTTGCCTACGTGGCACTGTGGGTCCCATATTTTTTTAATTTTTATTAATTTTAAAATTGATTAAAATATAAATAAAATATTAAAAACAAAAAAAATTAAATCTCTCTCTCTCTCTCTCTCTTTCTCTCTTTCTCTCTCTATCTCTCTCTCCCCCTCTCACTGCATTCCCCCATGGCCACCATGAACCCACAACCTAGAACCCCAGCCCCCATGAACCCAGAACCCATCCACCTCTACGATTTTCTTCTATCTCCACCCCCTGGGATTCCCTCATGACCACCACAAACCCACAACTAGAGAACCACAACCCAGAACTCCAGCCCCCATGAACCCAGAACCCATCCACCCCTACGATTTTCTTCTTCCTCCACCCTCTGTGATTCCCCCATGACCACCACGAACCCATAACCAGAGAAATACAACCCAGAACACTAGCCCCCATGAACCCAGAACCCATCCACCCCTACGATTTTCTTCTTCCTCCACCCTCTGTGATTCCCCCATGACCACCACGAACCCATAACCAGAGAAATACAACCCAGAACACTAGCCCCCATGAACCCAGAACCCATCCACCCCTGCGATTTTCTTCTCCCTCAATCTCCTGCTATTTTCTCCTCCCTCCACCCCCTGCGATTCCCCCATGACCACCACGAAGCCACAACCCAGAAATCAAAAGGAAGAAGAGGTCTGAGACAGGTTTATCACACATCTCAAGCATCTGTTAAATTTTCATTAAAAAATATTAATAAGGCATACCCAATTAATAAATGAAATACCCCCACCCCTCTTTTTCCAAAAACAACAAAAACTAAAAATGCCAAATCAATCTCTCTGAAGGCACAGGTGTTGGGTAGTAATATCTCTCTCTCTCAATTTGATTATAGGGCTCAGACTTGCTTCACAGAATGTTCCTTCACGGCCGTACTCTTCAATTTCAACATAAGCCATAGATTTCACAGATCAAGCTCAATCCACACACTTAAACCTAGAACCGCTGGAGAACCCGATGCAGCAATTCACCTGGCTATACTTGAAAATCCAAATATCAAGTGAACTATACCTTCTAAAATCAGGAACATAGAAAAAAAAAATGCAAGTACACCAACGCGGCGGTCGGTGGTTCTCATACCTGAAGAAAATCGCAGTAGGTGAAGCAAGAAGAAAACCGTATGGGAAGGAGGGAGAAGAAATCGCAAAGGGTGGGGGAAGAAGAAAATCAACCGGTGGGGGGAGAAGAAAATCGGATGGGGGATGGGTTCTGTGGGTTTTGGGTTCGTGGTGGTTGGAGGGTGGTGGTCCTGGGGGGAGAGAAGGAGAGAGATGCAGAGAGAGAGATATATATATATATATATATTTTTTTTTTTAATTTTTTGCTTTTAATTTTTTATTCGTATTTTAATTAATTTAAAATTAACAAAAACTAAAAAATGCGGAATCTACAGTGCCACATAAGCAACTAACGGAGATATCTGACGGAACCCTAACGGCGAAACCATTTAAAAGTTCAGAGTATGCGATTGTAAAAATTGAAAAGCCAGGTACTAACATGCCTTAACGTTGTAAGTACAGGGTACTAAAGTGTAATAACCCTATATATATCCACAAAAGCTGTCTATTCGTGCTCTCTATAGGCCACGAAAGTCGTGTGTAAATTACTTAAGCATAATTATTTCCTTCTTCTGTTCAAGTTGGACACGAAATTATTGTGTTTTCTCTACATATGACACAAATACTACATATATGTGTCCAATGTGATTCAAAAGGGCATGACCATTTTTTTGTGTGGCCTTTGGATCGTGGTTTTTGCCCAATTTTCTAGTAGTGATATAAGTTTAACATATGAATATCTATAGAAGATTACATCATATGATTAGCCTTTATGGGATATTTTCAACAGAAACTGCTGTTATATGTTACATAAGCACATGACTTATTGTTGTAGCCTTAAGAATTGCGAAAAGGTACGATTATTAGTTACACAATGACACTTAACTATTAGTAATATTTATATTCAATCAACAACTAGTCTTATATTCTACTTAGATATTCATCCCCATTTTAGAAGAAGTTGGGCACCATTGATATCTAGTTGTTCTGTGTGTTCGTGAACAAGATCCAAATATGTGACAACTTCCCATCTACCCGAAAAACACAACTTATCATAAACAAGTGTAATATATTATAAGCATACTGACTCATTTATGGTTTTTATTCTATGTAAACCCCTTTTCCACAAAAGAAAATTTGTTATGCATTTTGTTTCTAGTTGAATGACCTTAACAAGGTCTACATCGATGAAATTATGACGTACTTTGAAAAACATATGAGAGTTCGTCAAGTTGAATATCATCCAACTGAAGTAGGCACGAATACAAGAATCCCTAGCTAGAACAAAAAAATCCCTAGTTGATGCATCCAATTTATTGTATAGATCATTGATTTGAAAATTCATGTTCAAATACCCTCATGATAGGTCAACCATGTACTCATGAGTTTGATATGTTTTCACCAAGACTCTACACATTTTTATTTCTTAGGCTAAATCTTAATTCCGAACAACCCAATGTGATAAGTGATATAATGATTCAAGTGGCGTCGCTAATGAATGATTGTGATATGGTTATTTTTTACGATGTACACCACTTTTCTTGTTGTAATTTACCATAAAAGCCAAAAAGTTCTCTCTTGTCAACGAACTAGGTGGCTACACCGTATTTGGCAAGCCATTCAACTTTTCTTTTATCAAGCCTTCTTTTGAAGAACACCACCATCTCCTAATTACTTTCCCTTGCGAGTTATGAATGAGTATGTCATTCCCTA